CTGGGCTCTGGCGATCCTTCCGCCTCAGCCTTCCGAGTAGCCGGAACTACAGGCGCGCGCAGCCACGCCCGGCTAATTTTTTGATTTATTGTAGAGATGAGGTCTCGCCAAGTTGCCCAGGCGGGTCTCAAACCTGCGGGCTCTGGCAATCCATTCATCTCAGCCTCCCAAAGGCGCAGGATTACAGGCTGAGCCACCGAGCCCGGCTAAAGCACCATTTTCTTTTCTTTTTTTTCTTTTTTTTTTAGTTGGAGTCTCACTCAGTCGCCCAGATGGGAGTGCAGTGGCCGCTCCCGGCCACCGCAGCCTCAACCTGCTAGGCTCCGGCGATCCTTCCGCCTCAGCCTTTCGAGTAGCCGGAATTACAGGCACGCGCTACCACGCCCGGCTGATTTTTTTATTTATTGTAGAGATGAGGTCTCGCTGCCCAGGCGGGTCTCGAACTCGCAGGCTCAGGCAATCCAGTCACCTCAGCCATGTGGCCCTACATCAGTTTCTTGGTCAGAATTTTGCTGATGGAGTAACTGATAAGCTTGGTTAGATAACATTGGCCGTTCCTAGTTTAGAATGTCCTCCCATTGACTTTCTAAATCACAGCCAGCTCAAATTAGCCTCCTTCCTGACTATTCAGCAGCTGAAGCTGATTGCCATCTCTATTTCCTCCAAACAACCTGTACCACTCACTGGAGCACTTTGCTTTTCATCTATAGTTGCTTGGTTCAGGTATACAACCTAGAAGGGAGTGAGGTTTGTACCTGCCTGTATTCTCTCGGAGGGCCAACGAATTAAGAGTTGAGCACAAATGTTCAAAAGACATTTGAAAAACACAATACACATTATTAGCGAGGTAGTGCAGCAGTATACAGTTGAGTCTAGGCTTTAGGATTTCAATTTCTGACTCTACCATTTATTTACTGTGTGACTAAGGCAAAACTACTGGGGCTTGTTTCCTCATCTATAAAATGGGGAGAATACCAGTATCCATCACAATGGGTTGCTATGAAGATCCAATGATAATGCACACCAAGCACTCAGTAGTGTCCCCTCACCTTCCACACAACACAGGAACTCCCACTTAATCCTGAAGGCTAAGTTAGGGCCATCACCTCCTTTCCTAACCCGACGTCTACACCGTGCCCCATCTGTCTGGCCGAGGGGGACAGGCTCAGGGCCGAATGCCTGAGCCGGCCAGAGGTGGAGGAAAGGCTGGGATGGAGGGAGGAGGGGGGCAGGAAGGTGGAAGGGATGTGCCAGGGGCCGCAGGGTCCGGGAGCCGTCTCCACCCGCCAGCGTGCAGCCGCCCACGCGTACATGCCCGCCGGAAGCCCCGCCCCTCCCGAGGGGCTGCAGCAGACAGGAAGGAGCCCTGGTTCTTCACCAAACTGGAGGTTACAGGCGTCCCACCCAGCCCGCACAGAACTGTGGGCACCGTCTTGTGCTTCTGCACAAAATAGGGGCCAGTTACCCATCCCAACATTGTTGCAAAGTTTTCATAACAAATGCCTCTGGCCTGAAAAGTAAACTGCCTTAGTGTGTTTTGCCCGTGTAGGTAGGCACTTTAAATGAGAAGTGGTGGCTCACTACTATAAATCCCAGGACTCTGGGAGGGTTGCTTGAGGCCAGGAGATGGAGCTCAGCTTGAGTTAACCATGACCGCATCCCTGCAAAAATGATACATTTGCTGGGTATAGTGCCACACACCTGTAGTCCCAGATACTTGGGAGGCTTAAGTGGGAGGACCACTTGAACCCATTAATAAGTTCCTGAGCTGTGATTGCACCAATGACTGCACTACAGCCTGGTAGAAAGATCCTATCTCCACCCCTCCACAAAAATTAAAAACAAAAATGCAAGCAATGGCAGAAACTCACTGTTGACACACTTGTCAACTGCTGGACACGCCACACTGTATTATTTAATCTTCTGAGGAAGCTACATTTTAGACGAGCATTTTGCATTTCATATTGTAACCCAAAGATTTGTTAGGTTTTGGTCTGATGGCATTCATCTAGCACTTGTGCAGGAAACAAGGGGAAATATGGGTAACCCAAAGAACCTGGGACTTCTCAATCTAGGAACAGCTCCATAGCAGCTTATCTTAAACAACACTTTATATGCAATGGCAATAGAACTTTTATGCAGTAAATTTTAAAAACTGTTATGTGTTCACATAGTAGCTTATCAGTAGACTCAGTGAACCCTCTTCAGCTATGATGTACCCCAAAATGCAGCTGACTGCAATAAGTAATCACCATTTAATCAGTCTTGATCTCAGAAAATTGCTAGACTGACAAAGAGGCAAAAGACCCAACCACCAGAAAGTAGTGTCCCAAAATACCACACACAAAACAAAGTCATTTCATGTTAGCAGTTTTTAATGGAAGTTCTGTATAAGATTACGTTATTCCTGCATCTTCTCAATGGTTTCTTCTTTGTATTTGCCTTTTTCCTTTCCTACTTGGCGAGATTTGGCTTTCCGTTCAAGGATCTTTTTGCGGTCTTTGTCCAGTTTAAGCCTAGTGATAACCACCTGCAGAAAGAAAGGAAACATTCAAGCTTTATTACTAAAACACACAGGAAGGCTCAACATTCACTCTCATCCCCCAAACCTGGGGCGATGGATGTCTAAACAGGAAATGATTATATAACTTAAAAAAAAAAAAAGTTCCAGGTTGGGCTTGGCGGCTCAGCCTGTACTCCCAGCACTTTGGGAAGCCAAGGCAAGTGGATTGCCTGAGACTGGGTTCGAGACCTGCCTGAGAAAATCGGCGAGACCTCGTCTCTACAATAAATCAAAAATTAGCCAGGCATGGTAGTGCGTGCCTGTAGTTTCAGCTACTTGGAAGGCTGAAGCAGAAGGATTGCTAGAGCCCAGCAGGTCGAGGCTGTGGTGGCCGGGAGTGTGCCACTGCACTCCAGTCTGGGCAACAGAGTGAGACTCCAATTCAAAAGGAAAAAAAAAGTTCCAGAAACTCCTCTAGTCCCCAAAGCAAACCTAGCTTAAAACATTTACTTAAAGGAGAAAGGCGCCTCAGTCTTCCAAGTAGCTGGAACTACAGGAAAAAGAAAAAAAAGAGAATGGTAAGATGGCACTGGCGAGTCTTATAGCCTCTTCTGTGCTTTACTGTAAAATGTTTCTTTTTTACCACTCAACAAGCAAGCCATTCTAACCCCCTGACCCTAGTTTGTATGTCTCACTCTGTAACTCTTAGGCTGGAGAACAAGTGCACACTACCATGCAAGCTAGTTTTTCATTTATTGTAGAGACAGGTCTCGTCATATCTCCCAGGCTTGTCTCAAACTCCTGGACTCTGGCAATCCTCTCGCCTCAGCCTCCCAAAGTGTTGGGATTACAGGCATGAGCCACCACATCCAGCTCTCACCCGTTTTACAAGCTACCAAGTTGTGCACAAAAACCTGTTAGTTTAGAATCTAAGGTTAGAGATTACATGTGGCCTCCATACAATCTTCAACCTGTAAAACCTTTAGCAAGGTGACAATACAGATCTTATTTCAACAGTCTGGATCCTAATAACATCTTAATTATGGTAAATTTTGGTATTATGAACAAAAGTGAAGGTAGAAAGTGTAAGAGATATAGCATAGTGACCAAAACAAAAATTTCTACTATCACTGAGCTTGTATTCTAGTAAAAGGAGATAGAGGCCAAGCTTGATGGCTCAGCCTGTAATCCCAGCACTTTGGGAGGCTGAGGCGAGTGAACTTCCTGAGCCTGTGGGTTCAAGACCCACCTGGGCAACTTGGTGAGACCCCGTCTCTACAATAAATAAAAAATTAGCTGGGCGTGGTAGTGTACGCCTGTAGTTCCATCTACTTGGAAGGCTGAGGTGGAAGGATCACTGAAGCCCAGCAGGTCGAGGCTGCGATGGCCAGGAGCATGCCACTGCCCTCCAGCCTGGGAGACGAAGTGAGACTCCAACTCAAAAAAAAAAAAAAGAGAGAGAAAGAAAAGAAGTAAATAAATGTTAATACAGAGAAAAAAGGAAAATATGGGGAGGTTGAGGAATGAGGGCTATTTTACACAGGATGATCAGGCAAAGTCCTACCAATAAAGCAACATTTTAACAGAAGCCCAAAGAAGTGATCGATCTAGGTTCAACTTTTCCAAAGAACAGCAAGTCAAAGATGCAAAGACATAAGACTGTAAAGCTTTATAGGTATGTTTCTCAAACTTGAGTGTGTCTAAGTATCAACTGGAGGCTTTTAAAAAACAGATCCTGGCTGGGCTCGGTAGCTCAGCCTGTAATCCCGCGTCTTGGGAGGCCGAGGTGAGTGAATTGCCTGAGCCCGCGGGTTCGAGACCTGCCTGGGCAA